TAGCATCTTCATTGTGTTATTTGGCCCCCAAAATTGTAATATGCAAATTTTCAAACAACTCAGAAAAGTTGTAAGAATTTATTTATTTTTATTTATTTTTTTGAGACAAAGTCTCACTCTTGCCCTGGCGTGGCGTCATAGCTGATAGGAACCTCAGATTCCTGAATTTGAGCTATCCTCTTGCCTCAGCCTCCCGAGTAGCTAGGACTTTACGCCCAGCTCAGGCCCTGCTGGTTTTCCTATTTTTAGTAGAGATGGGGGTTTTGCTCTTGCTCAGGCTGGTCTTGAACTTGTGAACCTAGGTGATTCACCTGCCTTGGCCTCCTGGATTGCTAGGATTATAGGTGTGAGCCACTGTGCTCAGTCAGTAGTAAGAATTTAAAGTAGAAGTCTACCTTTACTCATCACTTAGATTCCACAATTTATATTTTACTCTATTTGTTTTATCATATACTGTCCATTTTTCTCTCCACCTACTAGTCCATTTCAAGGTAAGTTAGCAAAAATCGGTATACTTTCCATGAAATACTACTGCATGAATATTATTAACTAGAGTTCTACACTTGTTAAGAGTTGTCTTTTTTTACTTAAGGTAAAATTTACATACTATGAAATACATAGCTCTTAAATGTACCTGTTCATGAGTTCTGACAAATTCATAAACTTGTTCAACCCGAACTCTTTACTAGATACGGAACGTTACCATCAGCCCATAAAGTTTCCTCATGCTCCATCCCAGCAAATCCCTGGCTTAGCCTCCCAGGAGGAGACAACTGTTGAAATCTTTTCCTACCGTAGATAAATTTTACTTGTCCTGGAAGTTCATATTCATATAAATGGGACCATGTAAGTCTTTGGGGGAGTTATACATTTTCATTTTTCCCAGCCTGGGAATGGAATTGCTAGATCATAAGGGAGATATTTTTAGTTTCATAAGAAACTGCCAAATATTTTTCCAAAGTGGTTGCACTATTTGTGTTCCCACAAACAATGTTTGATAGTTGCTGTCCTCCATACCCTCACCAACTTGTTTTTTACTTTGATATTTGGTTTTGCATGTGGTTGTATGGTGGTGTGTTGTTGAGGTTCACTGTGGTGATAATTTGTACTACTACTTGAGAACTAAGGAGGTGGAGCATCATTTCACGTATTTATCAGCCCTTTGAGTTTTTCATTTGTAAGGGTCTCTTCATCTCTTTGCTCATTTTCCTGTTGGACTGACTACGTTTTTCTTATTTCTGTCTTGGTTGTTCTTGGCTTTTCGGATGTTTCTGTACACTTTGGAGCCAGCTTATAAATTTACACACACACAGACTATTGTCATTTTGTTTGGGATTATATTGAATCTATAGGAATTTTGTTTTTTTGAGGAGAATTAAAGTAATTACAATATTAAGTTATCCAGTTCCTGTCTGCAGATAACTCTGTTATTTAGATTTTCTTCAGTTTCTCTCCATACGGTATTTTTTTGTTTTTTTTTTGAGACAGAGCCTTAAGCTATCCCCCTGGGTAGAGTGCTGTGGCATCACAGCTCACAGCAACCTCCAACTCCTGGGCTCAGTCTCCTGCCTCAGCCCCCCAAGTAGCGGGGACCACAGGTGCCGCCACAACACCCATCTATTTTTTGGTTGCAGCCATTATTGTTGTTTGGTGGGTACGGGCTGGATTTGAACTCGCCACCTTAGGTGTATGTGGCTGGTGCCTTAGCCGCTTGAGCCACAGGTGCCGAACCACTCTCCATACGGTTTTATAGTTTCTTTGTGGAGGCCATGCACATCTTTGGTTAGATTTATTTCTAGGCCTTTGATTCTGTTGTAAGTGATAATAAAATTCCGTTATTGAACTTTGTTGCGGGTGTATAGAAATACAGTGGTTTTTCTATATGTGAATCTAGAAACCTTGCTTAGTTAGGCTTGGTAGTTCTAATAATTTATTTGTGGATCCTTCTGCATTTTTAAGTATATTAAACATATAACCTGGAAATAGAGTTTTTCTTCTTCTTTTCCTACTCGCATACTTTTTTTGCCTTACATATCTGGTTTTTATTGCTGGTGTGCTTTGTTATCTTTGTGAGCTAGAGATTATGTTTGGAAAGTTATTTGGAAGACTAGCAGGAATGTATCTTTTTCTAAAAGGGTTTTCATTGTTTCTTTCATGAGCCTGGGGTCAATACTAGTCCAGGCCAATTTTAATTCAAATCTCTTGGTGGGGGGAACCTGTGGCCTTGGGGCCACATATGGCCTTCTAGATCCTTAAGTGGCCTTTTGACTAAATTTACATTTTACAGAACAACTCGGGGAGGGCTGATTAAGTACTAGTTGACCTCTAGAAGTAATTGTCTACAATTATTAGAATTTAAGGTGTTTTTTGTTTGTTTATCTTGTTTTGTTTTTTGAGACAGTGTGTCACTCTGTTGCCTGGGCTAGAGTGCCATGCCATTATCACAGCTCACTGCAACTTAGACTCCTATGCTCAAGCAGTCTTCCTGCCTCAGCCTCCTGAATAGCTGGGACTACAGGCACCAGACACCACACCTAATATTTTTTAACTTGAGTTTCTTTTTTCTTTCTTGCCCCCCCAACTCCCATCCCCTATTGCCTCGTTCTTCCTTTCCTCCTTCTCCCCTTTCCCTCTTCTCTTCCCCTCCCTTTCTTGACAGGGTCTTACTCTTTTACCCTGGCTGGAGTGCAGTGATATCATTAGAGGTCACTGCAACCTCAAATTCCTAGACTTGTGCTCATTCCTCAGACTCCTGAGAAGCTGGGACTAGAGGTGCACACCACTACGACAAGCTAATCTTTCGATTTTTAGGAGAGACAGGGTCTCACTCTTGCTCAGGCTAGTTTCAAGCTCTGACCTCAAGTGATTCTCCAGCCTCTGCCTCCCAAAGTGCTAGGATTATAGGCAGGTATGAGCCAAGGTGCTTAGCCTAAGGCATTTCTTTATGATTTCATAGAGTACTTTATTTCTGTTCCTAATTTTTTTTGTCTGTTTTCTAGAGATTCTTTTTTTTAAAAAATCACTTCTTGTTTCCCATTCATATGAATATTATTTGGCTTGTCTTTTATTTCTTTACTCATAATGACATAGTTATCATCTGTATGAGTTTTTTCTATTGTTTTTGCTCATGAAGCATAGTTTTATTATATTCCTTGTTATAAGATGTGGTTGACGTTATATTTGAAAATTTATATGTAGAAATACTTTGAGGCATACTGTGAAGGTACTTCTCTCCTGAAAGATTTGAGTTTGCCATTGCCTGGTGCCTGGGGCAGTGAATCAGGGGCTACGTGAAACTTGTTCAAGCCTTGAGATTCCCTGAGGATGTGCCTACATCATTCCCTGCAAGGGTCTCTTACTCGATACTTCCCTTTGTATGGCCCCGACTTTGTATATAAACCTTCTGTGTGGTAAGGATGATGTTCTTATTTATTCTTTTTTTTTTTTTCTGAGACAGAGCCTCAAGCCCTAGGTAGAGTGCAGTGGCATCACAGCTCACAGCAACCTCCAACTCCTGGGCTCAAGCCATTCTCCTGCCTCTTCTTCCCAAGTAGCTGGGACTACAGGCACCTGCCACAAAGCCCGGCTATTTTTTGGTTGCAGCTGTTATTGTTGTTTGTTGGGCCTGGGCGGGATTTGAACCTGCCAGCTCAGGTGTATATGGCTAGTGTCTTAGCCGCTTGAGCCACAGGTGCTGAGCCAAAGATGATGTTTTAAAATTTTATTAATGTTTTTGTTTTCTGTAAGAGGCTGATTTGAATAAGGTAGTCTGTTTAACCAGATGCTTCTTGGAGGTTTAGCTTTCCCCGCTTATTTTTATAAGTAACTCTGTGATGAAGAAACATTGTTCTTGTGTACTTCTGCTTCTTACTTAAGATTACTGGAAGTAAACTTATTGGAGGCTGCATTTTTTTAAAGCTATTTGATATATACATGATGTATTGCCAAAGTGCCCCCCACACAGATTGTCCCAATGTTCTATATTTTAAGTCTTTTTAACTTTCACATTTTAATGGGCAGAATAGTGTCCATTATTATTTTAACTTGCCATTTATTATTTTGACTTTTGTGAACATTGGCTATTCATGTTTTACAACTGGTGGATCACTTGTACTTAGTGTTTTTAAACTTTTTTTTTAATCTCATGACACATTGAACCTAAAGTTAAACTTTTGCAGCACACTTGAATTATGTCGATCAAAAAAAGAGTAAAGAAAAGAATATACTTACTGTGCTTTGATCTTCTTTTGAAAATAATTTAATTAATGATCTTTAAAAATGTTCACCACATACCTAAGATCCTCTCACGGTACACCAGTGTGCCATGGCACATGTTTGAAAATCACTGACCAAGTGGCTTATTGTAAGCAACTCAGGTGTCAGATGATGCAAATATTTCTTTTAGTTTGTCATTTACATTTCATCTTCATTTACAGATATGTACACTTTTGTATAGAAGTTTAAAGCTAATATCTGGTTAGATTTGTCAGTCTTTTATAAGGTCATAATCAGTCTCAGATAATAAAATTATAATTGTTTCTAGCATAAGTAATGTTTTAAGTTTGGGCTTGTCTCATCTGGCAAGAAAACGGAGAAATAGTTAAACCATTCCAACCTCAAATAGGTATTTTAATAAGGTAAATAACTCTTGAATGGAGGTAACGTTCATTTTTATTCTTAAATTAACTTGAATTTTTATTATAATTTTTTCCCTTTTTCTTATTATAATGCTTTTTGTTTCTCTGCTACTGTCCTTTCAGTGTATTTCCTTAGAAATTGACAGAGTTAAAATTTGAAAGAATGTTGAATTTAGATTTTCTTCCATATTTTGCCTTCTTTAAGGATAGTGATAATGATTTACTAATCATCATATTAGGGATGTTTTGAGATATCAGTTTTACAGTTCTTTATTAATGTATAGATTATTCCCTAGAACTGATGAATTGAAACTGATGAAGACTTTAACTTTTTTAAACAGTTACAATTTTTTTTTTTTAAAGCTAAGTGACGATGAGAAGAGTCTCCGAGAGAAGGAGATTATTGCCTCATCACCAAGTTTAACTGGGGCTGTCTTTGAGTTGGAGTCAGTTTATAAGGTATGTAAACATTTAAAATATTTCCTACATTTTGTTAGCCTTGTTGCATTGAGCTTTGTAGAAATATTTACTTAACCCATTTGTATAATGTAGACTCTCATCACCACAGCTACTCTTCCCTGCACCGTGACCATTCTCATGGCACTGAGAGTATGCCAGCATTCTCTGCAGGGCTGTCCCCTCCCACCGGTGCCTCCTCACCCTGCCTGGGCTCTGACCTCCTACTGCAGGCTATATTCTTTTTTTTTTTTTTTCCTTTTTTGAGACAGAGCCTCACTGTGTCACCCTTTGTAGAGTGCTGTGGCCTCACAGCCCACAGCAACCTCAAACTCTTAGGCTTAAGTGATTCTCTTGCCTCAGCCTCCCAGATGGCTGGGACTACAGGCGCCTGCCACAATGCCAGCTGTTTTTTGTTGCAGCTGTCATTGTTGTTTTGCTGGTCCGGGCTGGGTTTGAACCCGCCACCCTTGGTGTATGTGGTTGGCACTGTAACCCCTGTGCTATGGGTGCCGAGCCTGCAGGCCATATTCTTAAAGGAAGACTCTCTTTGCATTGTTTGGGCTTCTGTGCCCTGGGCTGTCCCCTAGAAGGATACTGTCATCATCCCATTGGCCCCGACCCCCTGTCTGGATCCCTGACTTGTTATGGGAGCCCCCTTTACTGCTCTTGGTCTCTGATACTGTGCTTTGGTCTGTCCCCCACCCCTATTATCTCTCCCTCTCATTCTTCTTGGGCTCTGACACTGTAAGCCTACTTGCTCTTCAGTGGGAATGCCTTCCTTAACCTCCTCTGATTCCAGCATCCTCTGTTTGGCTGCCTCAGTTTTCCCCACCTCTGAGCATAGGTATCTATTTTACATCCACTCACCAAATAGCTTTTGGATGGAATAGTTGCAGAAGAGGAGGAGATGAGAGCTGAAATCATTTTATACAACAGCAACTCCACATTTCGTTTGAAAAGGATGTGCGATTATTGTGAGTGCATGCCGGCCATCATGTTAGTTCCCATTCCAGTTTCCCGATTTCTACCTGTTGGGCCATCATTCAGTCAGCCTTTCAAGCGTCAAGTGTGGGAATCAATATTTATTCCTCTCACACCACAAATTTTCCCTTACGCTGCCCTCATCTCACCTTCTGCTTTTGCTTGGGGATTTTTATTTCCACTGTGACCACCTTAATAAGCTAGAATTGTGGAATATTACAGACAAAGAACCCCTTAGGGTCGTTTAGCTTCTCTCTTTCTCCTCTCTCTCAGTTTCATAGAGTTGGCTGTTGAGCTTTAGAGGCATTCATTAAATTCACTGAATTTTAAGCCCGGTCAGTAGCAGAGCTGGGATTTGAACTCAGGTTTACAAATCTACCTCCTTTTCTTGCCTCTGCCATAACCTTTCTTACCTGCTTCTCCGGTAAGTCATTTGTGAACTATGTCCAGTGGTCCAGTGTCACTCGGTACTGCCCTGCAGGGCTATCTGACTTGCCATGTGTGTGTCTGTCTGCATTTTTTTTTCAGCTCAATGATGAACTCCTTGAGGGCAAGGACTGTGATTGTAGTTGTAGATATCAGTTAATCAAAAGCTCTTTCTTAAAAATACATGATCTGTTTATAGTGGGAGATGTTAGATATATAGGAGAATAGCATAAAGACTTGACTCTTCCTTAAAACTAGGGATGAATGCCTATTTGGGGATCATTTTTCATCTAACTTTTAAAAATATTATTTATTTATTTATTTACACATTCTTACTCTGTTGCTTTTGGTGGGGTGCTGTGGCGTCATAGCTCACAGCAACTTCAAACTTCTGGGTTCAAGTGATCCTCTTTCCTGAGTCTTCCAAGTAGCTGGGGCTACTGGTGCCCTCCACGACACCCTGCTAATTTTTTTTAGAGACAGGGTCTTGCTCTTGTTCAGGCTGATTTCGAACTCCTGAGCTCAAGCAATCCAACCTCCCAGCCCTCTCAGAGTGCTGGGATTACAGGCGTGAGCTGCTGAGCCCAGCCTAAACCTAATTTTTAACAAGGAGAAAGACTATTGGAGAGTGAGGATAATTTTTATAGTTTACCAATATCATATTCTGCTTATCTCTTAGAATTTTAGGGTAGTTCATAGGACTTAAAAAAATCTAAGTAGAGTTTTTTTTAATAAATACTTATGGCACGGGAGTGGTAGGAAGGGGTAATATAATAAAGAAACAAATACTCATGGCAAATATTTTAATAGCAAAACTGAATGCTTATTATTTCATTTCCTAGTGAGTAGCTTTTCCAGTAAATTCTTTTAGAGTAAGAATGGAAACAGATGAAGAAATTCAAATCAGTTTATTTACATGTAATTTTTGGCACAGGCTATCTTATATACAAATTAGGATTCTATTTGTTTTAGAATAAAATGTGGGGTATGTCATATGAGATGAGTGACATGCTTAGAGGTCTTGATTAGGAGTTTGAAATTCTGAGGATTATTATTTCTAAATTCAGAGGTTGAGGATACAAGATAGTATTCTAACTTGGCTTTTTAGTATTGATGTTAATTATTAGTTTCAAAGCATCTACTTTGAAACAAACAGTTTTTTACTGCTTCTTCTTAAAGCTGTCTGTTTTGTTTTAAGGAGTATAAATTGATCTTTTTGCTTTTCTTTTAGACCTGCTGGTGGTAATGAATTTCTTCATTTAGACTTAATATATATGAAGACTTAGGAGGATTTCTTAATGATAGGTGCCAACTCATTTTCCCTATTTTACTCTGAATTCAGGTTCCTTTTCCTGATGCTCTGGATTTGTTCCGAGGAAGGAAAGTCTATTTGGAAGATGGCTTTGCTTACGTACCACTGAAGGATATTGTGGCAATCATCCTGAATGAATTCAGAGCCAAACTGTCCAAAGCTTTGGCAGTAAGTGTTTCACTTTATTTCCATATTTGCATGGTGTAACTTTCAATTATATACCCTTGTTCTGTGCTTTTCCATGAAATAATTTAATTTGTGTAATAGTATTCGGATAGATCATGATGCGGTACTATTAATCCTAGAAGTTCTTGGTTTTTACTTGCTACTACTCAAAGTTGATTTTTAAATTTCTTCTTTCTCCTACTCATACTCATGGTGAGCTGATTAATTTTGTGGGTGTACTCTGGGTTTCTGCAAGGGTGTGTCTGTGGAGGACACTGAGGTTGTCTGATCGTTGGCTTTCCCCTTCTTTTATTGTTCTTGGTTTTGTTCACCCATTTTCTTTCTGTTGGCATTTTGAACAACACTTCTTTTTGTGAAAGAACTAGATACTTTTCATGACATTGGACATACCTGGCCATTATCCATTAAATACCAACAGTGGCTCTCAGTCTCCATGACAACCAAATATATCACTGTACATTTGAGAGAGGCTTCTGGGGTGTTGATAATACTTTTAAGCTGATCATGTTGGAGAGGTGAATGGTTAGGTGCTGGAAAACATGGGCTGTGTTTGGTGAATGGTTAGTGGTATATGGGTGAGATGTAGTATTTAGGAAGAAGAATAGCAGAGGCTCATATTTTAACAGTGGGGATTACAAACGAAAGAGTTTGAGTTTTCTATTTGATAGTGGTTTCCAAACTTTTTGTTATGTTACCTCAGTTAAAATGTCACACTCCCCCTAATGTACAGATGGAGACATTCTAAAATGGATGTTTTAAACAGGATTAGGAAAAAAATAGGAATAGATACAGGTATTAGTAATTTTTTTTCCACATCAACAGGCCCTCTCATGTGCTTCCAGCTCGGAATCACCATTGTAAACTGGTGATGTTGATGCTGGAGACATGTTTTAGTAGTAGGAAGTGAGACAGAGCTATTGGTGAGAGACAGTGATTTGGGTTTGGGGTAAGTTACATTTATAATATTAATACGATATTCTGGTAAATATGGGTTGGAACTTGGAAGAGTGCTTAGAGATTCAGACATAGATTTGAAAGTCACCCTCAGGGTTGTGAAATTTAAAGCCAAACTAGTGGATGCAATTTCTAGGAAGTGGCATGTGAGGAGGGAAGAGTCCTAAACACCCAGCTGAGTACACATGTATTAGAGGAATGGTCATGGAGAACAATGACTTGAATGATAAGTCATTCTAAGAAAGTTGTAGCATTTTTCTCTGTCTCTGTGTCTCCCTCTGTCTATCTCTCTATATTTGTATTTATACAGATGTACACACACAGATATACATAAAATTTTAGAAAAACAAAGCTATTGGCATCATTCAGAGATTAGTACTGAGTAAAAGTTATTTTCTCAATTTAGTGACAAGGTTAGTCAAGAATAACTAGTCAAGGTTAGTCATAGAATAAGTTTCATATGTTGAAAGAGGTCAGTGGTATATATGAAAGTGCCTTGAAAATTCTGAAGTCCTGTATACATTTATTATCTGTTCATTTCAAGGGGCTAGTTCATGTGAAAAATGATAAATTGTGATTTTTCTGTTGATTTACAGTGCTTTGTACAGTTCTGTGTTTTGTGATTATAAAAATTATTGGTGGTCATATTTTGAATGGTTGTCTCATTTCAAGGTTTTTGTTTTCTAGTTGCCCCAAATGTTAGATATACTAAACATTAGAGTTTTTAGAGCAGGAGAGATTTTAGAGTTGTATGATATTCATTTGTGTGCTGTTTTGCCCTTTTCCTTGGCAACTAGAATGCAAACTCCAGGTTTATAAATATTGTCTTAGTTCAGGCTGCTATAACACATTATCATAGATTGGGTGACATCAACGGCAAACATTTATTTTTCAACCTTCTGGAGGCTGAGAAGTCTGAGATCAGGATAGCAGCAGAGTCAGTGTCTGGAGAGGGCCTGCGTCCTCATGTGCAGCTGGTTGTCTCCTTGTATCCTCACATGGTTGAGAGCAGACAGGGAGGAAGCAAACTCTCTCATGTCTTATTATGAGGGTGCTAATCCCTTTCACGAGTCTCCACCCTCACGGCCTAATTCCCTCCCAAAGGCTAAGGGATGTACTTGCTTTTCCTGGAAAATATGGCAGTGCTTAGCACAATGCCTTCTTTTATAAGAGACTCCCTATAAAGCTTGCCAATCATGCCTTTTCATTTTGCCCATGAAAATTTGGCCCCAGAAAGGCTTACCAGCTTACCAAAACTCATACAGATAGTGAACAGCTTGGGTGAGTTTGTTATAGTTCGCTATAGTTCGTTAGTGAAGGGCTTGAGTCCTTCGTAGTAGTTCTCCCCAAACTCCTTAAATTCAGTGCCCATTTTATGATACTCCGTTACCTCTCCGCAGGCCCAGTAAAATACCTCTGCTCCTCTCCTGCTTTCTGATTCACCTTTGAGCAGGTGTTTCCTTTGCATATATATATATTTTTTTTTTTTTTGCAGTTTTTGGCCTGGGCTAGGTTTAAACCTGTCACCTCTGGCATATGGGGCTGGTGTCCTACTCCTTTGAGCCGCAGGCGCCACCCTCCTTTGCATATTTTAAATTCTGGGCAGCTCTGGGGAGGAGATTGTGCCACATTCAACTTTATTATCTCTGATGCCTAGCACAGTGCCTTATAAGGAGTGGGTACTCAGGATCTGATGAGTTGCCTTGTGAGAGCTGCATGTTTGCATTCTTCTGATTTGTTGAGAAAACCAAAATGACACAGGGTCGCACTGAAGTGCACTGTTTATGTGTGATCCCTATATCTGATAATATGTGCAAAGTGCCGTACATGCAAAATATTTCTAAAACCTTGATTGCAGATGTTTATGAGCTCAGAATACTTCTGAAGAATTACCGTGGTTGGCGCTAGTCGTTCAGATTGTTACTCTTTTTATAGTTCTTCACTGGAGTATGGAAGGTGTGAATTTTAGATTTTGCTTCTAAATTTATGATGCAACATAAACCAGGTTGAAAGTCTAGCTACTTATGAGAATGGCAGCTTCATTCTTCATGACTGAAATCTCCAGAGTAATCCTTAGGTTACTACTTTTGTGGTCACCTTTGTGATGTTTTCCCTTCCTCATGCACAGAAAAGGTAGGATTCCCCCCACATTCCTCTATAAACATGTCCATTTTCACATCATTCATTTAAGAATTATAATTACCCACTAGTCTAAATTAGCTATAAAATACTTAATATTTTGACACATTATTTATACTTTTTTTTTTTTCACTGAACCATGCTGTTTCATTGATACCTGAGCGCACTGAAATACAGATTTTATCCCCATTACCTACTTGTGATGAAAAAATATCCGCAGATTCTGTTGCTAGGAAACAGCTAAATTCAGAAATACCTTTTTTAGGGGGGATATTTGTAAATTCAGTTCTTTAACTATTCTATGCTCATAGAGCAAAAATCTATTCAGTCACTACAAAGAAAGATGTATCACCTGTTTTCCAGTTTAAAAATTTTACACAGGGAGAGCTGAGAATATGTGAAATGTTACAGGATTGATTAAGTGTTGAGGATGTAATTTTTAGTAATGACTGGACGTTGAAAAATAATGATTCTGCATTCTCCTTTGAGTTCCAGTTTTCTTACAATCTTTCTCTTTATTAATAAAAACGTGGGAGCAAGAACAAGGAGAGACATATGCATACACATAACACGTAGGAATTTAAACCAAAGTAAAATGCTACGTTAATTAAATTTAACTTTCTCATATGAATAGCATTGGCCACGTCCCATGTTAAATCGCTCAGGTCTGCTCTTCTACCTGTGATGCTTAATAATTGTGTGCTAGAGAAAGAATAAATGTTAAAAAAAAAGCGTATGGTTATAATAAGTTTGGCTTTCTTTTACAACTGTCATTTATTTTTGTCATAGTATAGTAGTATAATGTTTAGAAAAAAAGAGTTTTACTCAAGTGCAGTCTGTAACTTTGCTTGAGTGTCCACTATGTGCCAGGCGAAAGCACTGGAGACTCAGATCCAATTAAGCTTTCAGGGTGTTGAGGACGTATGAGAGGGAGCAGCACTGGAGAAGACATGTAAACAGTCATAACATGTGGTCAATAAAAAGAGAAGTGTGTAGCAGGTAAAGAGGCAGCCCAGAGAAGAGGGTGAGGAGCTTAGTCTGGGTATTGCAGAAAGAATTTCAAAGATGTCAGCTCCTAGCTGGGTTTTGCAAGGCTCTTTTAGAGGTAAACAATCCCTTGATCTAGCCTCTTTTGGGGATTATGGAGTGGGGAATAAGACCTCTGGTTTTTAAAATTTAGTTTCCTCCTTGTTTCTTCCTTGTCTATACCCTTGGTTGGTAATGAACCTTAACATTTATTTTCTAGCCTGATACACTCAGGCAGGTGAGAGTGTTCATGTGCCAGTTTCTAATTCTGTACCTTCAGATTTCACTGCTTGTCTATTTAATTGCACATATACATTTAGAAATTTGTCAGGGAATGCGAAATCTGTCTTCTGATTTACATGCATTGCGAAATAAAAATCTTAATAAGGCTTCATGTCTTTATTTAAGTGACGGAGAGAACCCTGAGAACTTAAGTAGGCAGTGTATATACTAAAATTGGAGTGGTGCAGAAAATGTTTCCTGAAATGTTCTAGGAGAGTAGTGTGTAAGTTCAAGAATATAACAAAAAATGAAAATTGTCTGAGACTAGTTGACTCTAGAAATAATCAAAGAATGAGGGAATTGAGAATAACATGCTTGGTTTCGCTTGAATTTTTAAAGGGATAATAACGGTAGAACGAAGTGTTTTATGATACTCTTGCTATTTTGTATAAAATCTTTATTATAATTTAATATTTTAGAGTATGTTTTAAAACATGGTGTTAGATGAGTTTCAGTGTTTTTATGCCTATATTTTAAAAGAGAAACCCTAACATAGAGTCATGAGACTAGAAATATCATGAAAAATGCTTCCCCTTTGATTTAAAAAACTATGGTTATCCTTTGTGACACTATGATTTTGT